GGGGGGGGGGGGGGTGGGTTAATTATTTTATAGTAGAATTAAATATTAATAATAAATTAATTTAATAATTATTATTTCATAATTAAAATTTTAAATAAACCTGATTTTTGAAATTTAAAACATGTTTTGGCATTTTTGAAAGGTGTAAAAGTAAACACCTTATTTATGTATTCTTCCCTTTAATTCAAGAAGCCGGACGGAGAGATTTACATTCATTAATTGCTTTGACATGAGGTATGGGACCATAGCATGCATATTCAAGGAGATGATAAAGCTCTACTTATACTACGTCAGAGCAGTCCATGTTCAGAAAGTAAGAGGTCAAGTATCTCGAAAGGCGTTGTTGGATAGGTTATCAAAGGACCAGAATATGGATCAGGCGGTGAAGGCAGCGTGTGAAGAAGGAAAGGCGGCTGCGAAAAGAGCATCCCGGCAAGCAAAGCATGTGATGGGGCCGATAGTGGCTTCGGGATGGGATTTGTTTGAGACACTGTACGTAGGGGGGTCTCTGGTGGAGGGACTGGTCAGGAGTGGTGGAACATTCCTCGGTGCTTTCGCCGGAGGACTAGTTGGAGAAGGGAAGATTGGGTGGTTGGGTTTTGTTTTGGGAAGCCAAATGGGAAGCTGGACGGGTGGAAGGATTGCGCTTATGGCGTATGATGTCGGGATTGGCTTGCAATATTTGCTTTACAAGATGCCTTTCCTCTCTTGAATAGCATTCTCTATTGCGTCCTTTATTTGTTATGAATCAGTCTTAAATCTTTATTTACATTTGAATAAAGGAATCGAACAAGAAGTAAAATGTACATAACATTTATTGTGATTTAGTCTTAACGTAACGTGGCATCAACTACATGCAATTAACAAGTACGTATAATGTATGTGTGTGCAATATGGTTTCACTCTTTTGAAGGTAATTTGCAAGCTACAAAAATTATTGGGAAATTACATATCAGCCGTTAAAGGTACATGACTAAAGCAGCAATGAAAATATGAAAAGTTATTTTCGACAGTTGAATCTTAAAAGAGGAATTGTCAAGAATACCTAGTAGCTTGTTACTTCATATTTCTCTTCACCGCTTGAGGCTTTGTGTTCATTTCTAGAAGCAGATGTTTCTTTATCGCATTTGTATTCACAGTGATGCTTGGTAAGTAGTAAGGCTTGAGGGATAATGGGATCCAAAATAGTCTGATTAAATAGGAAATTAAAGAAACAAAATGAATCAATGTCACTTAATTTCCGCTACGACAAACAAATTGATTTTTTCAGGCCGCTACCAGAACTTAGGAAGGCCCAGTCAAGAGGCAATTTATATAAGAAAATATTGTTTACAATTAGAAATAAAAATTGGGAAGAATTCATAAATAAGATGTTTAGTTTTACCAATTTCAAATTTAAGAAATTAAGTTTAAAATTTAAAATTTCAGAGTTTTTTTTTTAATTTTATTTATAAATAAATTAATTAAACATATATTTTATTAATTAAATATATTAAGGTCACAATTCCATATAATTTGGTCACAAATTCTATATAATTGGTCACAAATCACAAATTTTACACGTCACAAATTATTTTATGGGCNGTTTTTTAAATTAATTAATTAAACGTATATTTTATTAATTAAATATATTAAGGTCACAATTTCATATAATTTGGTCACAAATTCCATATAATTGGTCACAAATCACAATTTTCATATGTCACAAATTATTTTATGGTCACAACTCAAAAAATTTAGAGGTCACAATTTGTTCATCGGTCATAAATCAAAAATTTATACGTCACAATTTGTTTATCGATCACAAATCTATCAAATTAATAGGTCACATATTAATTATTGATCACTAATTATTGGTCAAAATTCATAAATTTTATGTCACAAATTTTTTTACGGTCACAAAACATCAAATTAATTGATCACAAATTATGTTTAGGTCACAATTCATCAAATTATTGGTCACAAATTAATAAATTTTTAGGTCACACGGTATGTATTGATCACAATTTATCTGTTTCATTGGTTACATATTGTTTATTGATCACACACCAACCAATTTAATGGTCACAATCAACCAAATCATTTGTGACCACAACCACTCCGTTGCAACAGCCTAAACCACCATCGCCAGAACCAACACCACCACCTCCCAACAATAAAACCATCATCTCGAATTTGATAAGTTGTGAGCGTCACAATCGTCGCCTCAGCCACCAACAACAAATCAGATCCACAACTGTCATCACTCCACAACCGTTATTAGCTCATCGCCGCCGCCGTCATCACCACCACCATTTTCAGCCACCACCACAACTACAACCATCACGGTAACAATACTTCACCCCCCGGTAGTTCCGCCACCATCACGTGACCAACCCCCGTCCTCGGGCAACACCAATGCCACAACGCCCCGTCATCGCCACCAACACCACTTGCACCACAACCGTTAGCGACCACTACATCACCACCGTTAATAGCGCCAAATCCACCACCTCACCAGCGTCGGATCCACCACCAACAGTACTGATCTACCTATACCACCGCCAACAAAGAAAACTCTGGTTGCGCACCAGATTGCTACCCAAAACTCCGACCCAATTTTCCTCAGATCCGACACCATATCGAGAGCCAAAACTCAACCCACGTTGCGCAGCGGCGAAATTGCAAGAAATCGAACCCATTGTGAAATCATATCCACCAGCTGCTGCTATGAAATTGACCCAAAACTTCTTGAAGTGTTCTATCAAACTTATGGATGAAGTACTCTACAGCAGCACCTCGCCGCGCCCCAGCTGCGCTGAAATGAGGGAAGATAGCTAGTGAACGACGCCTGATTACGCCCAAAGACTAACGCGGTAGTTGTAATACAGTTTTGGGATGTCGTATCCACAGGAAGATGAAAGAATATTTAAAGGATAAAAAATGATGAATTGTTCTCTCAAATGTGTAATATAATTTAATGTTGAAATGTGAAATTAAAATCAATATTTTGAAGCAGTGAAGCGTCAGAATTTCCTCAATTGGATTGGATCAATCATATAAATTATTCATTTTATAAAACAATTAGAAGCTTTCATACTTACACTCTAATAGAAAGATATATCGTGAAAACTAAT